GACTGCGGGGCCGGCTCGGGGTGCTTCTTGCCCGGAGCAAGCTCGAACGACCAGGTGGCTTCCGAAGGAAGCGCCTCCGAGGCACCGGTGTGCGCAGGGCGCCTGAGGCCGAACCTGCTGCCTCGGTGCGGGGCGGGGCGGGTCTGCGGCCTTGGGCGCACCCGAGGTGCTGCGCCCCCCGACCCACACGGAGCCCCGGGGGTCCTGGACGAGCCCGGTCCCCCGGGCCGAAAACTCCCCCGGCTACGATTGTCCAGGCCAGCAGGGCTCGTCAAGGAACTGGCCCGGGGTCACTCCGGAGGGAACGAGGCTGCGGGGAGGGACCTGCCCTGGGTCACCTCTCAGCTCCCAGGGAAGGACCTGAGCCCGGAGCCGGTTCCTGGACGCCTGCTGGGGCCGAGGAAGGCTGGGGAGCGGCACCCCTGGCTGCTGGAAGGCCGAATGCCTCTCGCGGCTGAAGGAAGCGCCGGGCTTCTCTTTCCAGGGCACCTCAAGGGCGCCTTTTCCCGCTTCCCTTTCGCGCTTGCTGAGCCCCTGGCAGGCACTGACTTAACGGTCGCTTCGTGCTTGCATGGCACCTTTAGGTGTGTGGCCTGAGCGTCCCGTACGTGAACGCTGAAGACGCCGAGGGCCAAGACTGCGCCTCCCACACGCGCTTCTGCGGCGCGCTGCCTGTCTTTGCCCTGCGCATCCCATGTGGCTGCTTTCCTGGGCATCGGGCCGTCCTCGGGCAAGACGCCCTGCGGCCCAGCCGAGAGCCGCCTGCTCTTCTCCCCGCCTCCCCCTGCCCCTCCTGTCCTCGTCCATGTCACCAACCCAGTGACCTTTGGTCAATGTGAATAAGATCAAGGGACTCTTCTGCTGCACCGACCAAAGACTCCCCCACCCCATTTGGAATAAACCCCTGTTCGGAAATGTGGCCCGCAAGCTTCTGTGTGAGGGGGCCCTCCCTCCCTCGTCGAGACGGACCGGCCAGTCTTCCTCCCTTCTGCACCCCCAGCTTCCTTCCAGCGAGACCCCCATTCCCCCGGACCTTCCGATCGTCATCACCTTTCCATCATGCAGGTCTCAGCTCACATGTCACCTTCTCCGAGAGGGCTTCTGAGATTCCCTTCACCCGAACAGCGCACTCCTCACACGTGGCCGGTGTTGCATGTCTTGTCTGGGTATGGGCTAGTTGTTTGTGACCTGCCCCATCTGAAGACAAGCTCCAGCTGGGCACAGGCCTTGGCTGCTGGTTCATGTCTGTGACGACACCAGGGCCGGGCACACACGTGGATGCTCAGCAAGGGTTTGTCGAGCCAGTGACCAGACTTTCACCAGGGAAAGGGCCTGTTGACGAAAGGGAGTGTGAATCCTGGAGTGAGCTGCTCAGGGCCCTCCCCGCGTCTCTTCAGCCCAGCCCTGAGCAGGCAGGCAGGAAGGGTGTGGGGGGGGTGGGGACGGGCCCCTTGGCCACCACGGCCTCAGCTCCATTTTGGCTCCGCTCTGCTGGACACACAGCCCTGACTGGCTCCTCCCTCAGTCCCTCTTCCTCCCCTCGTTTTCTTCTTTCCTCTGCTCCCCACTGGCCGTGGAGAAAAAGCCTTCTGCTGCTTGAAGAGTCCCAAGGCTCGGTTCTTGGGTCTCTTCTCCATCTGTACGACCTGGCCATCTCTTTCCATCTCAAGACTGAGACTCTACCACGAGGAAGGTCTCCCAGATCGGGCGCTCCTGGCCGGAGCTTTTTCTTAACTTTCAGGCTCTTACCTGACAACCTTTGGCTTTGCCACTTGGACGTCTCTCGTAGACATCTCAAACTCAGCATGTCCAGAACGGAATTCTTGGGCTCCTCCCACAAATGTGCTCCACCATCGTCTGCCCAGCTCCGTCACTGGCAACTCCTGTCTTTTTTCATTTTTTTTTTTTTTTGAGTCGGAGGCTCACTCTATCACCCAGACTGGAGTGTAGTGGCACACTCCCGGCCACCGCAGCCTCAATCTGCTGGGCTTCAGCCATCCTTCCTCCTCAGCCTTCCAAGTAGCTGGAACTACAGGCATGCGCTACCACGCCCAGCTAATGTTTTTTTGATTTATGGTAGAGATGAGGTCTCACCAAGTTGCCCGGGCGGGTCTCGAACCCACAGGCTCAGGCAGTCCACTCACCTCGACCTCCCAAAGTGCTGGGATGACAGGCTGAGCCACCGAGCCCGGCCAGCAACTCCTTTCTTCAAATTGCTCAGGCCACAGTATTTCCTTCTGTCTCTCAAACTCTACCTCCATTCCACCTGCAGATCCAATCTTTTCTCATCTCCCCCCTCATTGCCTTTCCGGTCCACTCCACGACAACCCTACCCTTTGTCCCGTTCAGTCTTTTCTCAAGGGAGCTGCCATCCTGGTCCTGACAAAATGCACAGTAAGTCGTGCACTCCGCACACAAGGCTCTGACTTCCACTCCTCTCATCCAGAGGAGAAACAGTCCTCCGCACTTGGCCTCCTCCTGTCTCTGAGTACCTCTCCTCCCTCGCTCCCCCTTGCTCTGCCTCCACCTCTTTGAGGAGCCTCGTGGCTCACTCCCATCCCCTTCAAGCCTTTGCTGACTCCAGGGCGTCCCCCTCCCACCATTCCATTTACAATTATGATATTCCACCAGGCGCAGTGGCTCACGCCTGTCATCCCTACACTTAGGGAGACAGAGGTGAAAAGATTGCCTGAGCCCACGGGTTTGAGGCCAGCCTGGGCAACTTGACAAGACCTCATCTCTACAATAGATTTTTTTAAAAATTAGCCAGGCCTGGTGGCGTGCACCTGTGGTTCTAGCTACTTGGAAGGCTGAGCCCAGCAGGTCAAGGCTACAGTGGCCGTAAGCGTGCCCCTGAACTCCAGCCAGAGTTACAGAGTGAGACTCTGACTCAAAAAAAAAAAAGTATGATATTCGTAAAAACACACACACAAGCTCCTTATTTCTTTCCCTGCTTTATTTTTCTTCAAAATATGTATTACCTTCTAACATAATAAGTAGGTTGTGTATCTATCCAGTTTCTTGTCTGTCTGTCCTCATATGACAGAGTCACCTTGCTAGTCACCAAAGAAAACGTGTGTTTGTTGCTGAGAACCACATTTCCCAGATATGCCTTTGCATTTATC